CCGACAATCCACGTGGAATCCGCGATGCGAACAATTCTAAACATTCGCTAATTAGAGTCTCGAGCAACGATAAACAGAGTGGATCAACGGCGATCGTGAATCACGATTGCTTCCTCGCCTCGTGTACGATCGTGTGTACTACAAGGAAGGAACGAGCGTTCAAACCGAGATCACCTACGGCTAACTAACGATTCCATTTGCTGATTGGCTATCCGGACGAACTTTTCTACCGACGCCCATGAGACGAGGCTCTAAACCGCGATAAACCGCAAGCTTACTTAGCCTGCTCCCCGATCAATTAAGATCAATCGCTTCGTCCTTTTTCACTTTTCCGGTCGAGACTCTCGTCGAAGAGAGAAAGAAGATTCTTCGTGGCCGCTTTGAAGAGTTTTTCTCGGTGAAACGCGTGTTCCAGATAGTTTGACGAAGTTTGCGGACACCGAACGGCCTTCGAATTTCGAGGGGGATTAATTGGGAGGAAGCTGGAGACTTTCTTTTTTCGACAGAGAGAGAGAAAGAGAGAAGAAAGTTTCGTGAAAAGTTCAAGTTATACGAAGGAATTTTTTAATAACGTTTATAATTTTTCAAAAAATTAATCCAAAGTTTCCTTTCCTTTCTTGTCGAACGAAGGATAAAAATCAATTCAAAAAATCAATCCACGAAATTCCACGTTTGATTTGAAAATCCTCCGTCCGTCGAAAGGAATCGACAATGCGTTAAATATCCGATGGGATGATCGATCCTGCTATCAGTATTTTCGTACACGTTCGCGTACACCTTATCGCGCAGAATGGCCAGAATTTATGGCGTATTATTCGAAATAATCATAAATCATCGGCGATCGGATGCGGCCGAGAGAGGCGTTGCGGTCGTTGAAAAATATTCGACGACGACGATCGCTTCGTAACCTGTCTACCCGTAAATCAGCCGGTTTTTCGAGGTGCGCAGTGATCGATTCGTATTCAATCGGGTCGAAATCGACGTTGGTCGACGCGAGAGGGAGAAAGAAAAATTCTTTCCTCCGTAAAAGGATTCTACGTTATTATGCCTCGTCCTCCTCGCGTTCCTCTTGCGCTCGTTTCTTTGAGGTTTTGATCGAGGGGGGATCGAAACTCTGCTTGAATTATTTGCAAGCAAGGGTTGCAGGTATGTCGAGTTTTGTTCCTCTATTGAGATATCGAGTTGTTTCTGCGAAATTAAATTTTAAGGTACCGCAAAGATTTTCAAGTTTTATTACTTTTATCATTATTATGATATATCAAAGGAAATATAGATGATACTGATCGGACGACAAGAAATCCTCTATCGTACTCTAATGTAACATCACTCCACTAAACTACATCAATTTTTAGACATATTTTGATAAAATTCAAAGAAATTACATCATAAAGCATAACGTAAAAATAAAGAGAGAACATAACCTCAAATTTTAATCTTCTCTATTGTAACATCACTGTATTAAACTAAATCAATTTTTAGACATATTTTGATAAAATTCAAAGGAATTACATGATAAAGCATAATCTAAAAATAAAGAGAGAACATAACCTCAAATTCTAATCTTCTCTATTGTAACTCTAATGTAACATCACTGCACCGAACTACACCAATTTCTAGACATATTTCGATAAAATTCAAAGGAATTACATCATAACCTAAAAATAAAGAGAGAACATAATCTAAAAAAAGAATGGAATAAGGAACGATGTAGTCGAACGTGATCCGCAAAAATTTATCTCGACGGAAACGAATCGAGTCGTTGCACAATTCGTTTACAGAGAGAGAAAAAAAGTGCATACGGATGGAGTCGTATCGAGATCGACAGCACAGCGGTCGGGGCGTACGTTTAAAGAGACGCGCTACCGCTATTCTCGTCTCTTTTCTCTTTGTTCGCGGCTTGAACTACGCGCTTGCCCTTACATCACCCCACGTTATTTATGCCGAGCTTTTACGAGGATCGCTCGTAATTTTCACCTGGCAAATTTTTCTTTACGATACCCGATGTGTCGATTCGACCAACAGGTCGGACGCGGCTGCAATTGCGTATACAGTAACGCGCAAAAGTATCGCACGATATCGATTTAATCTTGCTGCGAATATTTATTCCCGACGTTTAATTCTATTGTTTTTTTTTAATTTAAATTTGAATTAAATTAAATTTTAGAATCGAATTGAGTTTTAAGATCAATAGAATAATTAGAATACGTTAAAATCTTGATGCCAAATACGACGAAACATGAAAAATTCCTCAAAGAAGAGAGAATCATATTACGGGAAGAAGGGAGACGATCGACCAAGGAGAAATTTTCTATTTTATTCAAGCAAACGGCAAATATTCTCGGCAGAGAGATACTTTGAGAGACTTTTGCGTAACATTGTATGCGCGCGTGCCCACGTGCGTTCCCATACGTGCATCGCGAGGATGTGAGAGGGAGGAAGAGGTTAGGTTATATACCTAGGCCGGCAGGAAGGGAAAAATGATCGTTAAAAGGCACGCAGCGCGGGGATTATTTCTGGCAGAAAGTTTTACGAGCAAAATGCTCGCAATAAAGATACCTTCGCCCATAGCTTCGGCAAGCTCGTAATTTCGAAAACTGCTCGAATTTGGCGATTATACTTTTGAAACCAATTTTCCAGATCTTTCGATTCTAAACACTCCCTTGTTATTATCGTTCGACAAAATTCTTAAATTAATAATTTCTTGAATAAGGAACGCTTCGAAATTAATTAATTCGAAAAAAAAAATAATAAATAAAAGTTTAATCGACAAATGTATATTTTGAAAAGAAAAAAAGCACCAATTGGCCGGCTCGAGATCATCTCGAGACGAGAAATTTATGCGCGACCCAATGTAAGGAGCGTAAAGCGAGCGTAACGAGTTCATCAATTCCATCGGCGTTACTCACGCGGCCGCGCAACAAGTCGCATCGCCGGGGAGGATTTTTCATCGCGTGGCCACGTGGCGGCTCGCATCGCTTTTGACATTGCCACTAAACGCGGCCTCTCTCTCCAATGCCTCGCATGGAAACGAGCGGCTCGTGTGCATAAGTAAACCTCGAGGAGCGAGGTGGAAGCCTCGAGGAAGCGGCTCGGTCGGTGGCTCGTTCGTTAGACGAGAGAGAGCCGTCTCGCTTTTCCAGCTGTGACCCCCGGGTCGTTTAATAAAGTTGGGACCGTTTCACGCTTGGGCTGGACGCCTGGTTGTCCAGCATTTTTCGAGATAAGTGGAAATACCTGTTGGAGGCATACGTGGATTGAATATCGGGCGATTGCTTAATAACGTTTGCACTGTTTCGCTGTTTCTTCGAGGTGGAGGAGGAGGAGGAAGATGCTTGGATATTTTTCTTTTTTTTTTTCTTTGTTTGGAGTATACATTCGAGAGGAGGAATATGAATAGTAATAATGGGATTCTTTGGTCAATGTTTTATAGTAAATAGGTGAGGATATTCTTGAGATAGGAATTTTGTAAATTGTGGATGGAAGGGAAGAAGAAGGAAAAAAATCGAGGAGATTTCTTTTTTTGTTTGGTGTTTAGTAGATGTTTAGTAGATGAATCAGAAAGGAGATTTTTTTAAAATGAGTAGAAGTACCTTTTGAAAAAGGAATGAATGCGAAGATTGTTTGATTGTTGATTGTTTTTAATAAACAGGAATATTATTATAATCTTTAATAACATTGAACATAAAATAGGAGAATAAAAACGAAGAGTAAGAGGTTTTTAAAATAAGTAAAAATATCTGTTTGAGAAATACGTGATATGAATTTTAAATAAATAATGGAAGATTCTTTATATGGCGTATAATAATTAAGGATATTTTTTTCATTTTGGGCAGAGTATTGAATATTTTTGAAATAAATGAAAATTTTCTGTACTTTATAATTTGAGATATAATTTTAATTTAAAAAGAAAATAGTACTTAATATTTATTTAACAATAAATAAAATTTAAAGTTGAAGTATATACATCCATGTATATTTATGTATCTTTCATTGGAGAAGGAAATAGTTAAGTTAAGAAAGACTTATATATTTATATTTTGAGTTACAGGAAAGTTTCTTCGAGTAGTGTCTGACAGGTAACGATATTTTCTACTGGAAGAGATTCTGCATAAAAGATGTAGAGGAAGTAAAATTTTAAGTAAGATAACTTGTTCATTTATACAAAATTTAATAACAATTAAAGTATTCATTAAGTACTTTAATTTAAATCTCTGTTTAATAATGATACAAAAATTCGAATAAAAATTTAATTCGATAAATTTAACACAATTTTGGAAAATGAAAATTATCAACAATTAAAATCTTTAATTCAATCTTTAATCAAACCTTTTGATTTATTTCTTTGCCAATTTAATTTTTTCAATAATTTTTTCAAATTAAAACAAACATCATTTAATAATTTTACATTTTACCCAATTCACCAAGCTTCAAATTGATTTCTCAAATTTATAAAAATCAAGCTAAGCGAAACGGCACGTACACTAGTATAAATTTCTAAAATCTTTCGATATTTCACCTATAATTACGATCCCTCGATAACCGCAAAAAAAAAAAAAGAAAAAAGATCGAAACAACTCCCGACCACGATTTCACCGCAACCTCCACTCCCCCTTTAATCCATTGTTCGACGCGATCTTCCACCCATCATCGATACTCCAACTCGATCCAGCGTGGATTAACGACATGGACCTCGAAGGGAACCCGAGTCGAGGCGGGTTCAAAAGGTGGCGTCCGTTGGAATGGCGTCCGAGAGTGCATCCCCTCTGGCCGGAGGAATGCATTCAGATCGACGCCTCGTACCACACGGCCAATAAACATTGATTTATCGGCCTGGAAATCGAGCTCGGGGTGATTTGTGATGGTGCGCAGCCGCGGTGGATCGACTCGCGGCGCCCCATCGCGGGCACCACTAGCAGGACCCCTAGTAGGACCCCGGGCCGAGTGGTGGGGGAAATGCGGCGCGCGCCTGTCCTATATAAGAGGGCGTCCGCGAGTGGTAACATTCTCGTATGGACCGTTAGCTGCGGCATTATCGCGCGGGAACATTCAAGATTCACGAGGACGTCCCGGCCTGCATACCACGAACATGATACTCGTGAGTGGATTATGGAAATATAACGTAATAGAATTTTTCGCCCGGGCTTTCTTTCACGGCGCGCTTTTCCTGGCATCTTCCCTTCGTGGAATTTTTCCGGACGAGGTATTTTTTTTTTTTTTCTTCTTCTTTCGTAGTTAATTTTTGTCGTCGTACGAAAGTTTGGAGGATGTGATAGTGACATACGTGTTATTTTTTTTTTTTTTGCCTTCGTGTCGTTTCTTAGGCAAGTCGTTTTCTTTACGAGATTATTAATTTTTATAAATTTTTTTTTTTTGGTATTTTTTCGTTTTCTTGGTTCGTTCTTTTAATCGTTATGACGTTGGAAGTATCAAAATGGCCATTTCTTTTCACTTGATCGAAAGGCAAAAAGTATTGCATCGTAAGTAAGATATTGTATGTTGAAAGAAAACGTAGAAGAATAAATGTACGATATACGATGAAAAGTTTAGCTCGCCAACAATCGAAACTAATCAAAATAGTCATCATTTTCAAATTTAATTTTTCTTTCTCGATTCGATTTTTTCAAAGCAATATTTTAACGCAAAATACAATTCCTTCTGCCTTTCATTACTAATCGACAAATGAAACTTGAGCTCTTCTTTAAAGGTAATATTTCGTTTATTATTCTTGTCCTGAAGAAAAATTAGAAATTATTAAGTAATCTTTTAAAAGGATCGATACGAGAATTCTCTGCAAAAACGTTGATTTCGAAGCAACTTGAAACTCGAATTCGAGGGGTGAATTCGCAATTCGTGAAGGGAGTTTGGAATGTCGGGCGCGCCTGTGTACACGCAGCGGCAACGAAGCGTAAATAAAGGAAGTTTAATCCGGCCTCGTCACGGTTGTCATTTAATTTCCAAGTTTTACGAAGCTGCTCGCGGGGGGTGCAATCTCGATTAATCCGCGTGAATCGGCCTTCGAACTCGAGGAGAACTTTTAAGGAAACCCCATTCCGCTCACGCGGCAATATTTTTTCCCAAAACGTTCAAAAAGTTTGGCAAAAAAATTTTTCCAACTTCCAAGGCGTATTTATTTATTTGAAAAAGTAATAAACGTTGTTTATTATTACGAAAAGATGATCGAAATTTTTGTCATCTCTACGTGCTTGTAAAAGTTTGTTCCTATCCAAACTGTTTTCATCATAATAAGCTGTTTTGATATTTGAGTTTATTCAATTATGTCTTGCAATATAATATATTTCGGTTGAAAAATTGATCGATATTAAAATGTAAAAAACTTTCTTGTTATATTTTATATGAAAAAAATGGCACGCGTTATAATTTTATTAGATTAAGAATTTTGCACAAGTTATAATTTATTTTAATTAAAATCTCGAAATGTAAAATATGAAAAGTCAGCGGAGTGTTGGTGGAGGAAATTGGCAGAACGTTTTGCAATATCGAGGTTGCAAATTATGATAAAATTTACCCGGTGATCTCGTCAACTTTCAATTGACAACAATTTAAATTCGATGCAAATTTTACAAAAATAAATCGCAAATTTCATTCGATCTCACTTTAATTATCGATACTTTCCATACTTTTTTCATATCTTTCAAAAATCGGGAACAATATTGTAACATATTAAATTCCATATTATATTATATTAAATTATTAATTTATATTAAAAAAAAAAAAAGACAGCAGAAAAAAAAAGAATTTTCCAACAAAATTAATAATTTCTTCTTGATATATATATATCTCCAAGTTTCGAAAGAACTCTCGAAACTTTTAGACCGGAAGTGGATGGAACTTTCGCAAAGTTACGCCTCATTGTGATTCCGCGTAATCTGCGATGTAATAAAGAAGAGCAACTTGGCCGACGTGGATGGCTGCGATTGTGGATCGGAAGTTTCTCGATGAAGCGGAAGTTTCACGTGAGACGCCCTATTAAATGCAAACGCTTTCGTGGAATGCGCCACCCCATTCAACCCTGTGTGTTGCTCGACTAATTATCGGTAATCGAATCGCTTGTTAATCGATTAGTCGTGGTCCCTTTTGATCAAACGAAGATTGACTTGTCGATTTCAAACTGTTTCGAAATATTTTTCGTTTTTGCGTATTTCCTTCTTCTTCTTCTTCTTTTTTTTTGGGGGGAATATTTCATAAATTTTCGTTAATTCTGTTTGCTATTTTTGGAATTTGAAATTTTCGCTCGAAAATGTCGAAAATTTTGATCAACTTAATCAAATCAGCAGTTGTTCGTTTTAGTGTAAAAGTTGTAACATTTTGTATATATTTTCGTTTGTTAAATAAATTGAATTTACTTACGTAACTAGAAGAACGTAACTAAAAATTTTTATTTAGGTCCGTTAGCCTTTTTGAATTAAAAATTTTGCTGATCCTTTCTCCGAGTTTCTCGAATTAAAAAGAGGGGAGGAACACGTCCAATGTAATTTACGTACGTGCAGTATTCAAACGATCAAATAACTCTGTTATTTAACAATTAGTTTCATCAGAAGTAAATTTTTAGAAAAAGAATAAAATAGCAAAAATAAAATGATAAATCACTCGTTTGATTAATCTTTCGTGAACGAAATTTTTTTTAATTTTAAATCTTCGTATTTTTATTCAGTTTATAAAGTAAAATTAAAGACAAGGAAAAGAGAAATTTATATTTAACGTTCCTTTTAAAAAAAATTAAATCGTTAAGATCGTTGAATAGATTACCGTCGAATATATAATTTTCCCCCTCGCGTCAAAAATAAATCGATGATTAAGACGGTTTCGAGCAAGGAACAATAAACGAATCGATAGGTGATCGCTTATCACCGTTCTACACAATCTAGAAATGAATTCGCGGCAATCAACGATCTCTACTTGTCGTTCTACACGGATTGGAATCAAATTGACGCAGATTGTTGAAATTCTATCTGAAACACGAATGAAACGTATAGCCAATATCTCGTGTAAGGAAGGCACGTTTAATTTCGATCCAATTCAAATATTATTACGAGGCAAATTTATTCAGATGTCGTCGATTTCCCAGCTGAATGAAATTATTTCCGTTTTCACTTTTCGACAATTCGATAAAATTTGCATTTTCAAATCGAAAATACTCGACCGATAATCGAGTAAATAAATAAATAATGCAACCATTTTCGAAATTTAATAATAAATTCAATGCGACACGAAGAAAAATTGAAAAATCTTATTCTTAAATTTCGTCGTAAAGAAGTGACATTTCATCGTAATTCGTTAAAATTATGTGTTATTTGAAATTTTCAAATTATTTACTTTTTGTGTGATGATAAATCTGTATACAAGTTAAATTTCAAAATGTCTTCTTCGTTTCTACGAAAACAAAAAATTGTATCGAACCCACAGCGATAAGAAAATAAAATTCAGAGATTCGAATGTTCGACACGTACAATATTCCCTGTCCTTCCTCTAATGATTCGCGAGAAAGAGCGTCGAAACGTCGATCAAGAAGGTTAAAGAAGAATCCACGCTTATCCCCATTCTGAATGCATCAATAAATTCCTGAATTTCTTCTTTCTTGTCGTTGAAACACTGTCACGTCCTTCCAATTGTTCGTTTCGACAAGAAAGATTCGTGAAAATATATATATATATATATATCGCGACTTAACAACAGGATCTTGAGAAAATTCTGACCGAAAAGATGTGGAAATTTAATTTTAAGGAGGGAGGAGGGAAATTACGTTCGAAAACGCGTGGAGAAATTTCAAAATTCAATGGAGGAGGAATTACTTGTTTGAGGGGAATGGAGAGGATATTTATCTTATATAAAGGGAAGGTGAAATTAGATTCACGGTGGAGAGAAATAAAGTACATTCGTGAAATTGGAAGGGGTGGGAATACAATTATTTTATCCGTGGAAGAGGAGGGGCGAAAAGTTTGATTCGAGGGAATATTAAATTTCGACGAGGGATTGAAGATGTTTGCACAACAATTTAGAGTAGAGGACAATTTGTGGGGGAAAATTTTCCACAAAGAATGATTAAACTTTCTCACAGATTCTTACCTTTACCAAACTCGTGATATTCGCCTAATTACAGTAGATGATAAGGCAAAATGGAAAAAGAAAATGGTTGCATTTTTCAACTGAACTAACGTAACTGAACAACCGTTTCCTTGGATTAAACGAAATATTTCTCTGTCCAGACAATCCTGTTAAGCACGTTTTTCGGCCGAATAATCGCAACACCGATCGCAAACGTTTGGCTAAGCCCCGTAGGATCGCTGACGCCGTTGAGACAATACCATGTACAGGACGGATCAGGGGGATATCATTATTCATTCACGGGGCCCCATCACGCAAAATCGGAATCCAGTTTGAACGGAATCACGCAGGGTGGTAAGTCGACGAAATTAGCGCCCTCTCGCTTGGTGGACGCTTCTGAATTCTTTATGATAAATCCGTCATAAGCTTTTCGATCGAGATCTCTCGAAAGCTTTTTCTTCTCATATTTTGCTTTGTAAATCGTAGTGATTTATCTCTACGTTGAAAACTTTCATTATTACATATTAAATATCCCTTCCCTCATTTGTACTTATTTTTGTACTTCAACTTATATAATAAAATGAGAATAATTTTATTTCTATCGGTATCAATTTGTGCTCGAATTCCTCGAGTCGAATATTTTTTTTATTTCCGCTGAAAAATTTTCCACCGATCGTTCTTTTTAATTTTTCAACGATGCATCTCTTTCTTTTTTTTTTTTTTCTCCCATCGACGAGATTTTTTTTTTGGTTCGCGTATAATATCGAAAAAAATTTTAAAACCTCGATAAAAAGTGAGCGACACATTTTTACACCGGTTGGGACAGTAATTGTTTCGACAGTCTAGAAACCACATGGCTATTTTCCACGAAATTTTACTTTTTTTTTTTTTTTTTTTTTTCTTGGTTTTAATTACAAGGGGACGAAACTCGGCGGTTTCACTCGCAATTTTAATGGAGTGTTCCGAATTTGTGGACGGATATTTGTAAAAAATACAGGCGATTGTTTTTCACAAAGTGTCCCCCCTCTTTTTCTTTTTCTTTTTCTTCCATTCGCGAAAGAACCAAATTTTTAGATTTTTTTTCAATATTTATCCGCTATATTTCTTTCATTGTATCCTATACCTTTCATATTTGTTATATTCATTCTTCTTACTATGTGTCATTCATTTCTGCATTAACCAAGAAAATTCTTCGTTTCTTTTACGATAGAAAAATAGAATTATTAATAAAAGCTCGATTCGAAAGGTTCGAATAAATAAAAATTTCTTGAATCAATTCTCAGATTAGTACATAATATTAATATTAATTTTTTGGAAGATTGATTCTACGGATTGGAATAAATGTAAAATTTGTTATAGAAAAACGTCGATCGAGGCTTGTTTATTAAGTTGTAGAGAATTTAAGTTTTCGTTGGATGAAGCGAGACGATGTGACGAAGAAGGAGCGATCTATCTCTCTATCTCTGTCTTTATTTGACTTAAAGTTACTTGATAAAAAAAACTAGATAGAAAGAATAAAAGTAATCGTTTTAATAAATGCAAATTTATTTCCAAAATTTTTTGCATCCTTTTCTATCGTAAATTTTCTTGATATGTCTCAATAAAACTATATTCGATTTATGTTTCCATAAATTATAAAAACAAAAACCTCGTTTCTCAACAACTCGAATAAAAAAAAAAAAAAAAAAGAAAGAAGAATCGACAAGTTCGCATAACGAATGACACACATAAAAATGGAATGGCACACATTCCTTCCTAGCCGTTTCGAGATAGAGAAGACGGCCCACGTACGCATGCTACCACTTTAGAAAACGATGATGGATGTGACGCAACAAACGCCCCTACGATAGATCCATCTTCGCTGGTTCACCTCTCTTCTTAAGCAATGTATGCCCTCCTACCACTTTTCCAACCGCCATGCACGTTCGACAAACCGGGTACCGTTGATCGATGCTCGATTCGTCGCATAATGCGAATGCGCGAGTGTTTTACTCGATCGGTAAAATTTTATCGGATCTCTCTTTTGCCGATTTATTTATCGACGGATCTCAAATAAAAGATATCGCCCGTATTCATTATGTGGTTTCATTCGAATCGAGATTTTCGCTTCATTTTATTTCGCGTTTGGAAAAACTAAAGTCGATAGAATTTTGTTAGTTTTTTAAAATCTGAATAAATAAAGGATACGATAAATAAATTAAACGATTTTGTAAACACATCTTTAGCTTGGAAAAATATATATTACTCATCTGTGCTTATTTTATTTTAGAAATTTTTCAAATTGAAAATCTTTTTTTTCGTTTCTCTTATATAGGATATTCGTACGTGGACGCAAACGGAATTTTGCAAACGGTGACTTACACGGCAGACGATCAAAATGGATTCAGAGTGCGGGCCAGTAATTTGCCGCAGCCTCCTAAGAACGATCTCCAAACGATACAAGACACGCCGGAAGTGGCCACGGCGAAGAAGAATCACTTGGAAGAGTTGCAGAAGTCGCAGTTGGAGGATCCATCGAATATTCTCTCTTACAAAATTCTCCCTTCTTACTTCAGCTTTGCACAGCTGACGAAAAACGACGAGAAGAATTTGGCCGTTCAAGAAGTCGCGGTAAGTGGAAGAATAATATCTCGACCAATAACGTTTCATGTTACTTCAAAAAAAAAAAAAATATCAAATTTCGTTTTACATTAAACCAAATAAATCTTCGAATAATATCCATAGCATTTTAAATTAAACTTCTAAAACAAATCTTTTTTCTTTTTTTTCTCGAAAGGGAAAATTTTAATAAACAATCGTTCGAAAAATTTTCTCTTCAGATCATCATTAAGATAAGTTAATTTTTAAAATTTTCATTTCACGGGCGGAAAAATTGAAGTACAGCCGAAATGAAATTCGACTTTATTAACCTAAAACCGGTTGCAGGAAACAACAGCCGCGTTAACATCGTATTTGCGAGGGATCGGGCCGCGGAGCGGTTTCCGGCATTGGCCGCAAATTCGTATTTACCTGCACGCGCGTTAGACATTTTATTAACATTGCAGAGAATACTAATATCGTCACGCCCCGTTTAATTTCCCAGAAAATCTATTTTCCTCGATTAACGATCGGAAAATTTCGAATAAAAAAATTAATTTAAAATAAAGAAAATGTTTTTTTACCGCGCTAAGAAGATTATATATATATATATATATTCATACTCGAATATTATTTCTTCGAAAAAGAAAATTTGTACAAAATTCCATAAACGAAATATAAATTTTCACGAATAAACTTTTCTAGAAATAATTGCGAATACGATTCATATTTCGAGAAGGAATTATTAAATTTACAAAAGAACAATATAATGTGTGAAATTAAAAAATTGTTTTAAATTTCATTAAAAGAATTTTCCATTTAATTAATAAAATTAGATTCGGCAACCATTTTATAAACAAGACAATTTCCATTCCACTGCGTATATAAAACTTCAAGTTAAGCATCTCTTCAAGCAATCATTCTCGAAACCACTGAAACCCCCCTCCCTCGTTTCTCTTTCAGCAAACCACGAAGAATCCATTCCTCCTCTCGAGATCGGAGGCAGAAAGGATCGAGGTGCCCAAACCGGACCCCAACCTCTCCAAGATATCGTCCCTCGCAACAATCTCGACCTCATCGTCGTCGTCTCAATCTGACCAGCAGCAAAAAGTCCAAGGAAATCCGGGCAAACTCGTGGCCTTGGACACGATTCAAAGGCCCGTGACCTTGCCCTCGCCCTACGTACTTCCAGTTTTGCCGTACAGACTGTTGCACAGCTCTCTTCACCACACTCAAGACTCGTTGGGCCAATACGATTACACTTATACAGGGGACTCGAGCGCGAAAACCGAGTCTAGATCGTTGGACGGGACGACAAGGGGTGCTTACAGCTATATCGATCCGAATGGGGTTTTACAACAGGTTCATTACGTGGCCGATCATAATGGATTCAGGGTCATGGCCACCAATCTGCCGGAAGCTAAGTAATAAATCAATGGGAGACGATTTCGTTTGATCGTCGACAGAGGTCGCTCTTTGTCTCGGAGGAATTTATCTTGTTCTTATTTTTTTTTTTTTTTTGTTTTCTTGAACGTTCTCCTTTGAAATTATTGCGTACAGTTGCGGAGTTTTTTTTTTTAAAAAAAAAGGGTAATTTAAGAGAAGAAAAGGATAATTTTTAATTTTTCTTTATCGAGGAGTTCTTTTTTATCGATAGAGTATATGTGCGAACAGTTTATTTTCTAGTAGCGATTGTTTTAAATTGAATATTTTTGTACAAGTATGATTATGTTTGAAAAAGCTGATAGAAAGAAGAAAGGGGTTATATATTTAAGTAAGTCTCTTCTTGAGATTCTTTCGATGGAATATTCGAGGTTGGAACATTTTCTTTTGAATTTTTATGAATAAGTTTAAAAAGATAAGAGTGGAATATTGATGGAATTATTTTTCTTAATGTATAGAAAAATATTGCTTTGAATAATATTGAAGCTATATTGAAAATCATTGTATTTTCTATAATTTTTATATGCAAAATCGAAAACAAAATTTGCAATAATGATTCTCGAATAATTAAAAAAATATCAAAGATATAATTACTATCCAATTCACATTGGAATTATTCAGAAAAGTATTTCTCTAAAATTAAAAGAATTAATAAAGAATATCGGCAAGAACGTTTCTGAATATTTCTGATATTCAGTGATTAAATTTTTCCATCAATTTGAATTATGATCTCTGGATTCAACTATTTTACATCGAGGTAGAAGAAGAAAGTTTCCACCTTCGTTTTCCAATGATTACAAACCGCATTTTCCTTTATACGTGGAGGAACGATCAAAGGGGCGGTATAATCTTCGTTTCGATCGGGTATTTCTCCCGCGTTTCTTGCAGGAACGGGTTATTTGGTTGGTGAGGGGATAATCAAACTTTCTGAATGCCTTTCGAGTTCGTTCCACACGCAGCCACAAACACGTGATCCAAGTAGGAATGAACTTAATTCGCATTCGTTTCTCTCTCTCTCTCTCTCTCTTTCTCTGTCTTCCAATTCTTTCTCATTATTTCCTTATCCGTTAATCTAGTTTAAACGTTTAATTTACGCGTGAATAAATTATTTCACCAATTACGAAACCAATTTCTTTTCATTTTTCACTTTCCTTGAACGAGTTTCGCCGAATTTTCGTTCCAATTGTACGAGCAAAGTGGATACGAAACGATTTTTGAAACAGATACTTTATAATTTTGATTTTATTTAAATAAATATCAAAGAATCGGCTATTAAAATGTTAAAACGTGTTGGAGATTCGCTTAATTAAAAAAAAAAAAAAGAAAAAAAAGAAAAAAGTCAAATGAATCATAACAAAGAAATTAAATTTCCAATGATGAACAGAGAATTCACATCAGCCTATCATAAATATTCCAACAATTTACATTTTTATTTACAGCGAATCTCAAAGGAATCTGTATCACCGTAACGAAGAATAAATCCCATTACAGACAGTGAGATACGCGGAATTCTCATCGTGTCTCGTAAGGATGACACGGCCTGGCCGGATTGCAGTCGCACAGGGGCACCGTCGAAACTTTGGTTTTATAAAAGCGGGCCAATCCCTTTGACTCGGCGAATTCATTAATTTTACTGAACAGCAGGGACACACCGGCGAGTCTCTTACGAGCCATCATCGATGAGATTTCGAGATCCGGCTTTAAGGTCGGATCTGAAAATTTAATGGAACGAAGAGGGAGCTCGAGCGGCGTGCAGTTTGCACAATGAAATTAAATGAATAATTTGGTTCGATCCGGTGAAACGATAACGATTAGTTGTTACTCGCTTGTCGCTGCCTAATCGACGCCTTTACAACTTCTCGTTTTACTTTAAGCTGGGATTAAGAAGTAAATGCAATTGCTGGTAGTGGTATTTTACGATTACGATGTCTTTTTGAAGAAGTATTGCCAATAAGAATTTTTTTTGTCCATCTTTTGATATATCGTTGATCTTGATATGATTTTTAACGAAGATATTTTACATTAAGGATTTTTTGAATTGATTTTTCAGTTTTTAGATTTTAATTAAAATTTTAGAAATAAAGTCGATTTTAAGAAAAAAAAACAGTAGAGTTAAAGTTTGAAATAAAAAATAAATTAATAGATTAATTAATCGAATAATCGGGATTAAAAAAGAAAAAATAATAATCTCTCAACGTCCGTGACATTCTTTCACTTCTGCCTGCCTCGTGAACGAGAACCATGACCTACGCTTACGTCGACCAGGAATTTTGTTCGATGACGCGAACAAAAGGTAAAAGACCAGTCGATTCATCGTGTCGACGATCCTCTGACCCATAAAACACACATTTCTTTTTTCTCTCTCCGTCCCTTCCTCTTTCTTCGTTCCAGTCTGCATTTCTTGCCAAAAATCCTTTCACTTCGTCCATTCACCCATGTCTCTGTATAATTAATTCTTAAGAACTAAAGGAATTTTTTTCCGGTTTTCTTCTTCTTTATCCTTTTTTGCATTCTAAATTTTGCGATATTTTCGTGACATTGAAATTAAGAAAAAAATTTAATATCTTTTTCTTTTTGAAAAGTATCGAAATTGGTTTTTATCGTCAATTAAAAAAAAGAAAAAAAATGATCGAAAAGTTGTAAGAATAAAATAAAATAATTTCGAAATTTTTTTCATTGGATCGAAATAAATTTGCTTAATACGGCGATTGCGAGATTTATTTTTGGATTTAAGACAAATGTGGACGGACCAACACGCGTTATGTAATTGTCGCCGGTTTTAGAGCAGATCAATAAATTACGATGGTTCGATCTAATGCTGCGCACTCGTATCTCTTTTCTGTCTCGATTCAATTCGATTCCAATCTCCATTTCTATGCATGTGTTATGAAGAATGTAATATAATATCATGGATATACATACATCGTGGAATTGAGGGATAAATGTTGATTTAATTTTAAATTTTAAAAATAAATTTGTTGTTTTGAACGATGGAATAATTAAAAATTACAAAAAAAAAAAAAAAAAGAAAAAAAGGAAATTCATCGAAAGAAATAACTAATCTCGACATAAACTTATGTATTTTTATTAATATATATTTTATTTATACGTACCTGAGAGATTGACGGATTGATATTTGGTCGAGCTTGTTGGAATTCTAATTAAGTTTGAAATACCGAACAAATTTTATATTTTGAATAATTTTTAAAAATTTCCAAACCCTCGATCTTTGTAATTTTTTAAATCACAAAATCTTTATATTTCAAAATTTTGTAAAATCTTATCTTTTTTTTTTTTTTTATCTTTTGAAGTTTCACACTATGGAATTAATTTTTAATTTACGAAATGTTAAGCCTCTTAATTTTTTTAAGTTCTTCAAATTTTCGATCATTCGTGTTTTTAATATTAGAGATCAAACAAAATTTCAACCGTTCTTCAACTCTTTGAGCCATCAGAATAAAAAAATTTTCTAAATCTCTGATCCACCATTTTCCGAGAAGAATCGAAAATTGTGCATTAGGATCAAATAACCAAATTTCAGAAAGAATCAACGATCATGGATTTATTCGCATATTTATTCTTCCATTCGTTTCGTTACGTATTGTAGACGGTATATCACATAATACAATGAACCTCGCCGATTTCGTACGTCCCTCTGTCCTCCCTCGTACGATCATCAAAAGAGAACGTTCGAGAAAGAATCGAAATTGGGTCCGTACAAAATATCCCGACGCAAGTTTTCCTCTTTTTTTTTTAAAATGGCATCGTTATAACAACACTTACGTTCTTTTCTTTTTTTTCTTTTTCTTTTTTATTTTTTCACGGCATATGTGTGTGTGTGTGTGTGTGTGTATGTGTGTGTATGTGTGTGCACGTGTCTCGATCACACGTCCTACAGGATGTTTCAAAATTCTTACATTAACCAACAATACTCTCTTCACAGTTTCAAACAACTTCGATTACACGTCCTACGAAGGAACGTTTCACATAACACATTATTCAACCGTTGATTTTTGAAACAGCCTGTATAATATGAATTACAAGATGTTTCAAAACTCTTACATCAATCTTCCAAAACAATGCTCACAGTCACAAGTCAGTCACAATCTCTAATAATCTCAATAACTTTTGAAACAACCTGTATAAATTACATTAAAAATCGTCCTACAGGATGTTTCAAAATTCAATGTATCAATCTTTCACGCTTCTCTGTCTCACAGTCTCTCAACAAATCCGTCCGCGTAACAATCCGACAAGTTTTTTTGAAGCAACCTGTACAACACACCTGTATTATCGCGTGTTCAGCAAAAGGCGATCGTTTAAATTCGCTATTATCACAAATAACCAACGAGGAACGGTAAAAAATCTACGGAAAACAATATGGCGGCAACGATGGCGATTAGCTGAGAGGCCAGAGGGAGCTTCGGTAGCCAACCGTGGCTGCATTGGAATTGTATAAACCAAACCTGCGTTGTGTTATGGTACACATATGTAGATATCGACACGTATTATTTTCCTTTGAACGAATCCTTTACGAAACGGTCCTTTCTCTATTTCTTCTTTTCTTCCACTTTTTCAATCTTCATCATTTTTCCTACAATTAAAATTCTAGCGAGATTTTCTTTTTTTTTTTTTTTTTTTTTTACATTTTTACGATCTCTCACACCGAATCCTTCATTCTTTCTTTCTTTCTTTCTTTCTTTCTTTCTTTCTTTTTATTTATATTCAGTCTCGATCTACGACTAGCTTGAGCGAATATATCTTTTTTTTTTTAAAAACGTCTCTTCCGTTATAGCAACGAAGCTGGCGGAACAAAGTTAAGACACCGAAGAAGCTCGACTGTTTTTTTTTTTCTTTTTTGTTTTTCCTCGCGAATCCCAGTCCATCCTTTCGCACTCGATTCTGTCGTGCTCGATTTCGCGGCACGAAATGAATCCTCAGAAGGATTGGATCCTCACTTTCGAGGTTCTAGGATCGAAGGTGACGCGCTGCGCGCCACACCTGGCACGCTACAGTCATCTCGACTCGCTCTGCGAATGCACAGTCGGTTCTGAGCTTGGGTCCGGGTCCGAGTCGTCGAT